ATTTTTTCATATCAGGTCCTAAAAAAGTAAAATGTACAAAAGGAAGATCTGTTCTTTCATGTTTCTCTCGCTCTCGTGCTCTCTCTCAGCCCACTCCCCTCATTGGCTGCGGCAAACCCTTGCTTACAAACGGATGAGCAAGTGTTGCAAGGCCCCTCACAGCCCCACTGACACCAAGTCACTCTTCCACAAACACTGTGTCCCAGCTACACTAAACTCAGCCATTGGTCTCTGGTGGAATGAGGTTCCTTTTTCTTTATGCATCTGACCATGCTCCTCCCTCTGCGGGAAAAGTGCAAGGAAGGCTGCCTCCTTCCAGCAAGGGACTTCCCGCCCACTTTCTTGGGGACATCTGGACACATTCTTTGAAATATTTGCAGCCAGCAATCCCTCCAAACACCAGATCCCTATTATCTCTGGCTAATGGCCCAAAAGTGAGCCCCTTCGGTCAGCTCTTCGCCTACACTGTAACCTCCAAAGAGCTCTGAGCTCCCTTGCCATTGACCAAACTCCTACTACTCCCTTCTCTCTATAGTTTTTACCCAAGTCTTCTAGAACTTCATTCCATGGTAAAGTCTCTCTCATCCACAGTCATGTCATTAATGGGTCCTTTCCTCTACCTCCTCGGGTTAAGTGAATGCTGGCCCCTTCCTACAAGGACACCACTGCCGCTCTGTAGCCTTCCTAAGGAGATGCCACTCATTCACCCTCATCCCAGACTGTACCCAGGAGTTGGGAGAACCCCAATGTCAGTTCCAGATGACAATTCCTCTAACCATTTAGGCTGATGCTAAACCAGCTTTTGGACTCCACTTTGCCAACATCAAATGCCAACCTCTTGTCATTCCTCCTCATTCAGGGAGACTTGGGCACCTTGCTTAATCTTCCTCTCCACCCCAAGCCCTGCAGTTATCCTGAATAGCTTCAAGATCTTAGTTCTCTGATCTTGAAAGAGTGTCTTCTCAATGTCACTTAAGCCACCCTCCCCTGACCATTAGTATTTTAATTCCTCTGCTTTTTTCTTCTCTGTCAATCCCCTCCTGTTCTTACTTCTTCCCTATCAGATCCAGACTCCGTGATATATCACATCAATCACTGCCTTACAAATATTCTCAACTCCACGGCCAAGTTCACTGTCTCCATTGCTCACCTGGCAAAATTCCCCAAATCTGGACTACTCCAGCCCCTCACCCTTATTCCCCCAACCCCACTTCTAAACCCAGGCTTCAAAGAGAACCTACAGAAGCGCCCTTAACCTGGTGGTGGGCCACTACAGTTCATGGCCTCCAACTGCAACCGGGCCTCCAGCACAGTCCAGCAATCCTTCCAGATTTTCTGCCAGTCTCCATGGCAGCCTGTTCAATTTCTTCATTCCTTGAAACTCCCACCCAACCACTTCTCCCCACCCTCTGCCCCTTCCAAAGAATGGTGCACCCTCAGCTTCACAAGAAAAGAGAAGTCATCAGAAGGGAGCTGACCAGGCCTCCTACAAACTCATCTACATCTTCACTATCACTTGCCTCCTCCCTCCAAGCGCAGAAGTGTGTTCTGCTTTATTGGCTCAAAGATTTATTGGTTATTCTTTATCTCAACCCCTCCCTCTCTCTGACTCTTTCCGGACAGCATTTATTTATTTTTTTCTTTATTGATATTAGAGAGAGAGAGACAAAGGGAGAGGGAGAGAGATAGAAACATCAATGAGAGAGAACATCGATTGGCCGCCTCCTGCATGCCCCCCTCTGGGGATTGGGCCCACAACCTGGGTATGTCCCCTGACCAGGAATTGAACTGGTGACCTCTTGGTGTGTGGGTTGATGCTCAACCACTGAGCCACACTGGCCAGGCCTCGCGCTCAGCATTGAAACAGGCTCAATTGGCTCCCAAGTTGTAACAAAAACAGAGCTCTCGCTTCAAAGCCACTCTCTGGCAAGTACCCCTCCTTCTGTGGACAAAAGAGGGGCCGCATACTAAACCTGACAACCTCAGGAGAGACCTGCATGGCAGTTTTACAAACCAGGAGACCTAAAGTAACCACACAGGATGATCTGAAATTAAAACGTCTTTACTATAAGTGAGTCATGGTGGGTGATCATGTCCTAAGCCAGTACCTTCCTTGATGAAGGTCAATCTTCACCTTAACTGAGCCTGTCCTATTTTTTTTTTTAATTTTTACGTTTTTTAAATACCCAAGGTTATTTTTCTATTTACCATCAGATAGAGTGGGAGGGAGAGAGAGAGACAGAGAGAAATATTGACATGATAGAACCACATCGACTGGTTGCCTCCCGCACAACCCAACCAGGGCCCGGGACAAACCACAACCGAGGTACGTGCCCTTGACTGAATCAAACCTGCGACTCACTGGTCTGTGGGCCAACGCTCTAACTGCTTGGCCAAACCGGCCAGGGCAATATCTATTTTTTCAAGACCCCCTCAGGGCACAATCTCCCACCAGAACACAAGACCGCAGAACCCTTCATTGTTATCTTGTTCTCCCACATACCATCTCTATGTACTGTAAATGTTCATTGTTAAATATCCTGTACCCACAAATGTAAAAGAAGTATTATTTGTCTCTTCATTTAGCTCTGTATCCAATCTCAGAGATTTCCCCACTTTGCTTTCTCCCACCTCCCTAATCTACCACCAATGAATTTAATGTAATTCTTCCTACATTTCCTCCTTTGATTCCAATGTATAAAATAAGGTGCAAAACTGTCATTCTCTGAAGCATTTTCTCAATCTGTTGAAATTTTGCTTCCCGAAAATTGTCATCAATTTGGCTCAAATAAACTCATAAAAATTCTCGACAGGTTTGGATGTCTCTTATGTCAAAACGTTCTGGCCAGACTGGATGCAAGGATTATTCATTCTTGCTCTCCATACCCTGGCCACCAAAGTTGAACTTTGTGACGCAAAGACTCCATAAAGGAGCTCTGATCCAAGTTACCCATGACCCCCTTAGTTACTCCAACAGACACTTCTGATGTTGCCCCTCTTGACTGGTCACTCTCTCACCCATAAAATTCTCTCCTCCCTTGGCTTCAGGAACACTCTGGTATCCCTTCCCGAATCTTCTTTCTAGGATATCTTTTGCCTTTCCCTTAAATGTCAGTGCCTTTGTTGGAATCTTCCCATTCTCCCTTGATAAACTCACATACTCTAACTGGATATTTCTGGCATTTAATTTCTTTCTTTCTTTTTTTTTTTTTCTTCACAGCAGCTTTATTTGTAATAGCCCCAAACTGGAAACAACACAAATATTCACTAACAGTTGAGTGGATGGATTGTGGTATATCCATACGATGGAATAAACCCCGACAATACAAATGAACAAACTATTGATATATGTAATAAGATGGATTCATCTCAAAATAGTCATGGTTAATGAAAAAAGCCAAGGTCCCCACTCCCCAGAAAGTATATCACACGAAATTCTAGAAAATGCTTGCTGTTGCTTGTGAATTGTGGGAAGGGGGTTTAGAAAGGACTGGGAGGAGAGGGTTCTAGAGGAGTCCCTTGTGTCACTGTTGGACATGTTCACTGTCTTCATTCCGTTGATGGCTTCTCAGGAATGTACACATGCTGAATCATTTTACACTTTTCATATGTGCAATTTATTTTATGTCAATCATACATCCATAAAAAACATATTTACCTTCCCTCGTGGAAGGTCACATTTGCCAACTATTCTGGTTCTACCATATCCCTCGCCCCACAATGTAGGAGGGTGAATCCTGAAGAGAGCATTGAAGTCCATTTCCACCGCATACATGAGGAATACTGGAGAGTCAAGCCCTATCCCTGGAGCTTCTTACCAAACTAAACATACTTTGCCAATGCTGATGCAGCAATGGCCATACCGTGCACAGCCCAGGGAGGTAAGGAATCCACACACTAACTTCAGAGTACTAACTCCACAGGAGATACAGATGTCTAAAGGTCCTGAGAGTTTCTATACCGTCTCATCCCACACAGATGTTTGTAGATGATCCCTTTAGAACACACATCCTCTCATTTGCCAGTAAACCTCGCTCAATTGTCTTAAGTATTTCTACACAAATTATGATTCACACCTTACCCTGTAGGTCTTCCAGTCGATGATACCTGTCCATGGACTCTGTACAGGTCCAGGAGACAGAAATCCCTCGAAAGTGCTAGGGAGTGTGGGACATTTCTTCAGAAAAAGGGACCCAATTCATGGTGCTTCCAGAAGCACTGCAGGTTTTCGTACCAACTCTGTGCTTCTCAGAATGAACTCGGGCTCAGAGGAAATCTGGACGTCCAGGTCACAGGGTTGCGCACACACAGTTCTCCAGTCCTTTCCAGCAAGCCTTGGCGACCAGTGCACACACTGTGCCAGACTAGACAGGTTTGTCCTCTGCCATCCTGCTGTCCTTGCTCGGGCACAGAGAGTTAGTGCCAACAAAAGGTATTCTTCCCTTCGCTGGCAGAACCCAGAACCCAGTTTTTTCTTAATCCATGTCACACAGGGAACAGACCCCCCAAGAGTCAAGATGGTCACAGCAGGCATGCATCACCATGCAGACCAGAGCAGCACGGGGCAGGCGGCCCCAATGGTGGATGATTTAGAAGCAGGACCAATAACACATGCCTCTTATGTTTACAGTCACTACTGCATGAAGAAGAGAAGTCCTGTCTGGAAATCCCAGCAGCCTGCTGCTCAGATCCCTGTGGCCAGAGCTAGACCATGTCCACTCAGAACCCAGTCATCAGGGTGGAGGAGAGGGAAGTGAGGACCTTCAGTGAGCTCAGAACGCTCATGATTGCCTCCAGAGAATACGAGACCACACTCAGGGGTCTACATTCCCTGAGCATGCTGGATCGACTGACATGCTGTGGGACCCCAGACAGCTGGAGCAGAGGTGGCTTCTGCACAGGCGCTGGCATTGATGTAACTATCAAGAGCCCTGGGCAGTTCAGAAAATGTAATGTATCACATGACGTCTGCCCACCTCCATGGCACTTAGTGGGAATGTCCCCAGGCTGGGTGCACAAAGGTTCACCTGCAGGCTGATGGCTCCCTCAGTACCACAGGTACTCAGAGCGCTCCTCTGCTGTGCGTCCTGAGGTGGAACAAGGATTCAGCACATTTTCTTCATCCATAAGGCCTTTCTCTAGTGTGAACTTTCTGGTGCTAAACAAGTTTAAGAGATGCAGCCAAAGGGCCACCAAAACTGCTGCGATCATGAGGCCTTTCTCCACTGTGAACTTTCCGGTGCCGAACCAGATGGGAGCTCCTGCTGTAGGCTTTCCCACGCTCGCCGCACACACGAGGCTTTTCTCCAGTGTGAACCCTCTGGTGTAGGATGAGGCTAGAGTTGCGACTAAAGAATTTCCCACATTCGCTGCACTCAGAAGGCCTGGCACCTGTGTGCACTCTCTTGTGTTGAACAAGGTGGGAGCTGCTAATATAGGCTTTTCCACACTCACTGCACACGTAGGGCCTTGCTCCGGTGTGAACTCTCTGGTGTAGGATGAGGCTGGAGCTGTGGCTGAAGCATTTCCCACATTCGCTGCATGCATAAGGCTTTGCTCCAGTATGGATTCTCTGGTGCACAGTAAGGTTGGAGCTGTGGCTAAAGGATTTCCCACACTCTACACTCGTCAGGCCTCTCCCCCTTGAGGATTTTCTGGTGCTGCGCGAGTGTGTCTTTGCGGCTGAAGGCCTTCCCACATTCGCTGCTCTCAGACGGCCTCGCTCCAGTGTGAATCGTCTGATGCTGGACAAGTGTGTCTTTGCAGCTAAAGGCTTTTCCACGTTCACCGCACTTGGAAGGCCTCTGTCCGGTGTGGATCCTCAGGTGCTGGACAAGGTGGGCGCGCCTGCTGTAGGCTTCCCCACACTCGCTGCAGTCATAAGACCTTTCCCCAGTGTGGACTCTCCGGTGCTGAACAAGTGTGTCCTTGCGGCTGAAGGCCTTGCCACATTCGCTGCGTGTATAATGCCTTTTTCCCGGTGTGAAATTTCTGGTGCATTTTTAGGTGAGATAGGTGAATGAACGCCTTCCCACATTCCTTACACACGTGTTGTTTCTCCACTGTGAATTTTTCTGTGGGGAGTAAGAGCCGATTTCTCCTTGGACATATTTCCACCTGGTAGGCATCTAAGGGGTCTCACTCCGGCGTGAGTGGTCTGTTTGTCCAGCAGAGTAAAGGTGTTCAGGAAGGCTTTCCCATCATCACCGCAATTGAAAAGCATCAGTACATCAAGGTGCCCCTGCTGTCGCTCGAGGCTGGAGCTGTGGGGAAACACTCGGTGAGCCCAGGCCTCTTGCATGGACTCAACCCCCGTGAGTGGTCTGGTGCTGGAAGAGACCAGAGCTATCCAGCAAGTCCATGCCATCCTCCCTGCAAGGAAAGAGCGTCCCTAACGTGTGGACGGCACAGCTCTTCACAGACGAGGCCCCACCATCGTCCCCACTGACGGGGTTCTCTCCATCGTGTTGCTTCTGGTCCTGGGCACACTTTGCACCGCACAATAATCCTCTCTCACACGGGTCACATGTGTAAGCTTTCTGCGTGGGCTTTGACCTCTGGTGTTCAGCCAGGGGCAAAACGTCTTCCAGGAGTGTGCCACACACCTCACAGGGGTGGGCTTTCTGGATAAACGGACCTGGCTCGGAAGTCCCGACCTGTGACACTTCTGCAGAAGCGCTCTGCTCAGAAGGGGGCGCCTCCTGGTTGGCATCACGCCAGCAATCCAGTGAGGACACAAGTGCAAAGCTCTCCAGCATCACGTCACGGTACAGGCGTCTCTGAGCTTCATCCAGGAGCCCCCACTCCTCCCGGGAGAAGTGCACGAACACGTCCTCGAAGGTCACACAGCCCGCAGCCTGGTGCATCAGCGCCGCGGCCGCCATCGGATCCCGAGAGCAGACCCGGGAGCTCAGCCGGAACCGACACCTGCACTGGGTCGGGTGACCTCGGGCCACTGGGAGAAACGCGCACAAGGCTCGTGGAGCCGCCTCCGGGGCCGATGAGGACAGGGCGCGGGCGCCAAGGCCTCGGGAAGAGCGCAGCCAGGGGGACACCGCGCACGGCCGCCCGTCCCCGTCGGGGATCATGGCTCGTCCTGTCCTTTGCGCGTCCTTCCCGGCTCCACCCCGAAGACCCGCGTGGCCAGCAGACGCCGCCCCGAATCCGCAGCCTCTTAATTTCTTTTTCTACATAAGATGCTAAATTGTTTACTTTGCAATTTTTTTTTAACAAGGAGACTATATAATCTCTGTATTTAATTTTTTGAACTACAGAATTATTTTGACACAAATATAGGTATAAAATACTTTGCTCCTGATGCAATGATTATAACACTTTCACAATGAGATAGTTCTAAACTCAGCGTAGCCACATGTTTTGGACAGTTACTGTGTGTCAAGCATGGGTGTAAGAATTTTATGGACTCTCATTGAGCCTACCCAACAATTCTTGTATTTTTGACCCCAACTTTCAAATGAAGCAACTGAGACTGAGAGAGATTATATAACCCATATAGCCCAGGGCTGAAATGTAATCCTGGTTCTGATGGAAACTAAAGCCCATCCCTTCCCACCCACATCGCTTCTCCTATAGGGGCATTTCCAACCCTGTCCAGTTCAACGATGGGCTTCTTAACAATGCTAACAGAGAATATTTTACTTTTATGGCATGTATACAATATGTAACATTATAATCAACAGCTAAAGCATCAGAGGTTTCTCCTAGAATCAACTTTATAGATGACATCCCTGAAGGAGACTATTCCACATCTTGCCATATACTTTTTAATATTATAAAATTTTATTTATTAAAGTGTACTATATCCAGATTTTGTTTATAAAACTGTCTTGTAAGGGAATGCTATTAACAAGTCAGTTCTCGACTCTCTTTTTCGCTGTTAGAAACAACAGTGATACCAAGCTTTCAAGCTCATTTTCAAACTCTAATCACCATAATGATTCATAAAAAACTTCCAAGATCTTGAATCTTTCTTCAGCGATTGAGCCTATAATGGAATACTGATGAACACGTTAGTAGTCACTGGGAAAGAGTTGTATTTCTCTCATATGTATTCCTGTAATATGCATATTTTTTTCAAGTTGCCAGTTGATCACAGTCCTGGCCTCTGTTGACCTAAAAACCAGCCACAGGCTTCAAAGGAGGCAGCTTTTGGTTTCTCACTTCATAGGAAACATAGCAGTGAGTCCTGTAAATTTAAATAAACAGATTCATATTGTTCCTCGGGAACGTTAGTAGAACCGCTTTTCCTCCGGGGAGGCATTGGAAACCATTTAGAAGTATGCCAAAAGCTTAGTATTCTTCCACTGGTTTGAGAAAGCGAGACAGGCTGAGCCTCCCTTAAACACGAAAACGCTCTTCAGTTACTTTTTAAGCATCTCCTAGAGAAGTTTAAAGTTTCTCTTCAGGCACTCCCCAAAGAGCTCCACTCTGCACTTGTGCCTGTGGATACCACCAGCTCATAGCAGGAACCTGGAAAGCAAAGAAATCTGTTATCAGCCCTGGCTGGTTTGGCTCAGCGGCTTCGGCCCGCGGACCAGAGAGTCCCGGGTTCGGTTCCCACTAAGGGCACGTACCTCAGTTGCAGTTTGTCCCCGGCCCCTGTTGGAGTTCTGTGGGTGGCAACCAGTCGATGTGTCTCTCTTACATGGATGTTTCTCCCCCCGCCCTCCCTCCCACTCTACCTGAAGATAAAAGCAAAAAAATATCCCCTGGTGAGGATAAAAAAAAAATCTGTTATCAGACAAAGTGGGATGTCCTCTTCCCCACTGGGTGCTGGGCACAGAGTCCTTACCACACCTCGAGAAAAAAAACTTTCTGAAACTTGCACGAGAGGATGAGTGATTTTAGTGCGCAGAATTACATCCCTGGGTTTCTGAAGTCCCGTTCCCCTTTGTCTGGTCATAGCAGAAGTGTGGCTGGGGTTTCAGTAAAGCTAAAAGCAAAGCCAGTGTCCAGAGATTCCTTTCCATGTTGGAGATGAGCCCAGTACAGTATCAGGCTAGTTGCAGTCCACTAGTCCACTGTGCGTGGGGTCCACACGGCCCACAGCGTGAATGCAGGACAGCATGCCCCAAGCGACCAGAGTCCCAAGCGCAGTAAGAGCACAAGAGCGAACTCCTTTGTTCAGGGAATGAAATAGCCCAAATCTTCGCACCCTTGCAGTGGCCACACCCGTCCTGGCCAACCACCTCTATCCCAGGTGTGACTGACAGCAAGCATCTTCCCTAGTTCCCCCAACTTTACTGGGCATGAGTCTATCTCCCCTTTGTTAGACCCCTGGGAAGTGTAAGTTGAAGCTTCCTGGCAAAGCTGTCCAAATGACATGCTTTTAATATCTGGCCTTCCCTTTGCTCCTTCCCTATTATTAATAACTAGTTAATTATCAAATCCATTCTGCACTTGGTGCAAAACCCAGCCCTATATTAGCCAGACCCAGTCCAGGGAGCCATGCTTTCCGCCAGTGTGTGCTCCCTTGGCCATCAAGCTCCCTCCCTCCCTCCTTCCCCTCCACCTTGTTTTCAGTAAACCCCTTCTTTTGAATCTATTTCACCCCCTCTCTTGATTTCTGTCTGGAGGTAGGGGTGGGCAAAAACCCCTTCACCTGTGACAAAAGGATTTGAGTAACTAAAGTAAAAGAGTAGGAAAGAAGAGAGGATGAGTAAAAGACATTCATCACCTTTGTCTGCTAGAGCAGATTCTGTCATTTCCAAAGCTCACTTTGAAAAGGAAGAAACTGGGGAAACTTTTTCTTTTTTTGGCAGACATGTGAAAAGGCCCTTGCTCAGCAAAGGCAGAGCACAGAATGGTGAAGCGGAACAGATGCCTTTTCAAAGGGAAATCCCTGCCACAGGCCCGTCCTTCTGGCACTTGGACCGAGGAAGGGCAGCCACCCTCCCGTTAAGGAGGAACAGGCGGCCTGGCGTTTCTTGGCACACTGCACTGGATAAACTAAATCAACAAGCAGCAGCTCTCCACTGAAGCTTTCAACACTTGCTTAAAGAAAACAGTGCGTCCAGGAAGACTCAGAAGACATTTATTTATCTTTCTCCCAAGAGGATACACAAACACTTTTATCACATTCAGTTCCTATGTCAGGCCCTGAGAGGTGCTGAGGATAAAAGGATAAACAAGGTACTCCCTGACCCTAATAGGTCCCAAACTAGCCTAAGAAACAGGCCCGGATAAAGCAGCCCCAAGGCCACAGGAGCAGACCAGCCCCGCGGGTGAGTGCAGTTCTGTGGGAGGTGGGGTGCGGAGCCCTGGAGAGATGAAGAGGAGGAGAGTTCTGGGAAAGCTTCTCAGGAGTGGTCACACTTGAGCTGAGCTTTCTCCCAGTTTACACAGCCAGGAAGCAAATCCCAATCTTTCCAAGTTCATTGTTCTAAGAAGAACTCACAAAGACTTGAAAAGAGCTACATTCTTTAAATACATAACATCCTAATTGGTGGCTGTCCTTCAAAGTCAAACAGGGCCACTGAGTAGCAGACATCAAAGCCACCCATCTGGTGACAGACTAGGACACAGAATGACTTTAAATGAGAATAAGTCCTGGTTTAGCTACATTTTGTTAGCATCCCAATTATCACCATTGCTGGCATGCCTGATTTATTCCCTCATAAAAGTATTTTTCTCTTTGTCGTCCCAAAGCAAGATAAACCTTTTTTCAGTAGTCCTCAATGGGAAATATTAAAGTCATTAATTAAAAGATGCATGTAGCCCAGCTGGTGTGGCTCAGTGGATCGAGCGTCATCCCATGGACTGAGAGGTCCCAGTTCGATCCCCGGTCAGGGCACATGCCTGGGTTTCAGGCTCAATCCCCAGTAGGCGGCATGCAGGAGGCAGCCGATTGATGTTTCTCTCTCACATCGATGTTTCTATCTCTCTCTCCCTTCCTTTCTCTCTAAAAAATCAATAAAAACATATTAAAAAATTTTTAAAAGATGCATGTAAACTTGACCCTGGAAACTATCATTCTGTTTGAATTCAAGAATTAAGCCAGCCAAGTCAAATGTTTCTTAGTAGAACCTACTTCATCTAGGTCCAGAGGCCAACTTTAAGTGCAGTGACTTAAACAAGTGTTCATCCTTCAGAATGGAATTATAACTTACTAGTTTATTCTAGTTTAAGACATTTGACTAAATTTCTATCTTGAGCTTAATTTTCATTCATCCCAGCAATTATGAAGCACCCACTTACATGCTGCCTGACACTGTTTTACGACATATTAGAACATGAGCTTCATGGGGGCGGGGACTTCAGACTGCTGCCCTAATGGCGATAATCCCAGAGCCCACAACACTGCCTGATGGAAAGTACTTAATAAATACTGTTCGTTCACTCGGGTGAATGAAGGAATCAGGCATTGGACCTTGTAGTTGACATAAAGTTACAGAACACAGTGACAGCTACATCATTTCCATATGAAAGGGGTTGATGGGTGGGAGGCTAGGGATAGAAGGAAGGCATGTGCCTTAAAACTGGTTTATAGCAAGCACAATGTTTCTACTTAGATTATGTGTTGATTTGGAGTGATTTGGTGAGAATGTTGGAGATTATGGGAGAGCAACTACATGGATAAATTAATAAAAGAGTAAATGTGCTAGGAATATAGCCTAAAAATCCCGAAACACCAAACCAGAACAAATACATGCATGCCTATGAACATAGCAGTGTTATTTACAGTAGCTAAGATCTGGAAACGGTCCAAGTGCCCATCAGCAGGTGAATGGACAAAAAGCCGTGGTACATTTACACAATGGAATACTATGCAGCTATAAAAAAGAAAGATCTCTTTCCCTCTGAGACAGCATGGAGGGACCTGGTAAGTATGCTAAGCAAAACAAGCCAGTCAGAGAAAGACAAATATGACATGATCTCACTTATATGTGGGATTTAATGAATAAAATAGAACCAGAGGCATGGAAACATGCAACAGACTGACAAATCTCAGAGGGAAGGGGAGTGGGGAGGGCCGGGAAGAGATCAACCAAATAACTTATATGCATATATGCACTGCCCATGGGCACAGACAATAGTGTGGTGAAGGACTGGGGCAGAGCGGGAGCTG